GAGTAAAACTTGCTTTGTTTTTGTTACAGTCAGAAATGCCCCTAGATAATCTGAGATCTTGCCTGTTTTTTATAATATTAGCTGACATTGCTAGTGCTCTCATCTTAATGAATTGCTGAAAGTGAAGTAGAGATTTTACTCACTGAAATTAATCAATAAATGTAGTCAGTTTGGTTTTGAATCTACTTTGACCTCCAGTCACCCCAGTCCTTGACATTTATGATTTTTTTTTTTAATTTATAGTGTTGTAAAAACACAGCTTGGCTCTAGATCATGAGTGAAGTGTGGTACTGTTTATCAGCTGAGTCCTGCTGCCCTTCATCTGTGAGTAGAGATCAGTGCTTTTATTTCTGTCTTAATCATTCCTAAAAGCTGAGCTTTGGGAAATGCCTGGAGCAACTGTTTCTTACAATGATTCTGTTAGCTACTAAATACCTGTCTTCAAACTACACCTTAAAGTGTAAAATCACTTCTATGTACACAGTTGTGGTGGGTTGACCCTGGCTGGATGCCAAGTGCCCACCAAAGCTGCTCTATCACTCCCCTTCTCAACTGGACAGCAGAGAGAAAATATAAAGAAAAGGTCATGGGTTGAAATAAGGACAGGGAGATCACTCAGCAGTTACTGTCATGGGCAAAACAGACTCGACTTGGGGAAAATCAGTTTAATTTATTGATGGTAAAACTGAGTAGGAGAGAGGAGTGAGAACATGTGTAGGGTAATAAGAAATAAAACCAAACCTTCCCCCACCCCTCCCTCCTTCCCAGGCTCAACTTCACTCCCCATTTTCTCTGCTTCCTCTCTCCGAGTGGTGCAGGGGGACGGGGAATGGGGGTTGCGGTCAGTTCATCACGCGTCATCTCTGCTGCTCCTTCCTCCTCAGGGGAGGACTCCTCACACTCTTCCCCTGCTCCAGCGTGGGGTCCCTCCCAGGGGAGACAGTCCTCCATGAACTGCTCCAACATGGGTCCTTCCCAAGGGCTGCAGTTCTTCACAAACTGCTCCAGCGTGGGTCCCTTCCATGGGGTGCAGTCCTTCAGGAGCAGACTGCTCCAGTGTGGGTCCCCCATGGGGTCACAAGCCCTGCCAGCAAACCTGCTCCAGCCTGGGCTCCTATCTCTCCACGGGTCCACAGGTCCTGCCAGGAGCCTGCTCCAGCGTGGGCTTCACCTGGGTTCACAGCCTCCTTCGGGCACATCCCCCTGCTCCAGCGTGGGCTCCTCCCCGGGCTGCAGGTGGATCTCTGCTCCCCCGTGGGCCCCCATGGGTGCAGGGGCACAGCTGCCTCACCATGGGCTGCACCAGGGGCTGCAGGGGAATCTCTACTCTGGTGCCTGGAGCACCTCCTCCCCCTCCTTCTGCACTGACCTTGGTGTCTGCAGAGTTGTTTCTCTCACATATTCTCACTCCTCACTCCAGCTGCAGCTTGTGTCCAGTTGGGGTGGTTTTTTTGTTTGTTTCTCCTTCTCAAATACGTTATCCCAGAGGCACTACCACCGTTGCTGATTGGCTTGGCCTTGGCAAGCGGTGGGTCTGTCTTGGAGTCATCTGGCTCCTATGTCCATAGGGGAAGGTTCTAGCAGCTTCTCACAGAAACCACCCCTGTAGTCCCCCTGGTACTGAAACCTTGCTATGCAAACCCAAGACAACAGTTTATCATGCCATAAAACCTGACTATTCTCTGTCTTGCTTAGTTAGAAAGCAGTATGTCTCATATAATGCTTCTTTTCCCCCCCATGTCCTAGTAGAACAAGTACTTTGTCTTGATTGTATGGTAGGCTATGCATGCAGTAAAATTAATGTTTCAAACTAATTTGGATTTAAGATAAGTTCTTTAAAGGGGTTTGTAGTGTGTCCAGAAAAAGAAATGCTTTTTCCCATTTTTCAAAATAACATTTTTCTTTCAGTATATAAATAAAGCTCACTCTAGATAGAGATCTGTTTTTGCAGAATTAATTACCAGAGCAAATATGTAGTTTCAGCATTTTCTGGGCCTGGTTGTTCATGTGTTATAGGTGTCAGTAGTTGTTATACACAGGGAGATTACTATGAGATTTTCAGTAGCTTTGGTTGGAATGAGTCCCATGAAGAAGCAGAAGTAGAATATGTGAGGTTTATAGCATCAGAGCCTGTGTTCCTACTTGTATGAAGGGCTATAAAAAACCAATACAAGGAAAATAGTAAGAGAGAACAGCATTGAGTAGATGTCTAGTGATGTTTGTGACAAACCTAAAAAAACCCTTGCATGTGGGGAAGTTAAAGACGAGGTGAGTGAGAAGACCATGGCTCAGAAAGTCCTTTGTAACCTCCCCCTAAACAGAAAAATGGATCTGTATTGAAACCTTATGTGCCTTAACTTGTGCCCTGAAACCCTGCCACCATGAGCTCCCAGTGATCTATTTCTCTGTTCTTACCCTGTCTGGAAGGCACTGGAGTGGCAAGAAGGCAATAGAAGTCCTTTCCTTCATGGCAGGTGCAGGGAGTTGCTGCTTCTCTAAATAGTAGGTGTTCTCCATCACAGAGAAAATAAATCATTACATTTTACAGATACTATGAAACTGTCTCAGCTGGAGGGATTCAACTTTTGGCTGATAAATTCTGCAGCTCTCCAGGCAGTTTGGTGCTTTCCCTCCCAGCATGGATCTGTATCTCCATTTCCTTCTCCTCTCCTTGGGATTCAGAAGTTTGAACCCAGTTTTTAAGGCTTTTCCCATTTCCATCTTTTGCTATAATCAACAAGTGACAAGGACAACATTGTGCATGAGGGTTGACCCTACTGTGAAGCAGGATGGAATTGTCTTCCTTTAGGTCTTGCTGCAGGAAAAGGAGGTTGGGAGCCCTGCAGTAGAGTGGGTCCCTCCCTCTAAGGCAAGCAGCCTCTCTGGATCCTTCCATTTGGGTCGATAGACTTGGGATCAGTAGTTGGAAAATGGCTCCACCCCCATAATGCAACCAGTTCAGCCAGTTTGTTTTAAAAATGATGAGGAAGTCCATTCTGAATTAGATAGAGGTGCCTAAGAAGTTGCATAGTGAGTTACTTTGGGTGACTGCTGGAGCTGTAGCTAGCAGTGGTGGAAATGCAGACTTATCTCTGTTCAGGGTATTCACAGTTGATTCGTATCAAGAGGTCAGTTCAGCTCAGTTGAGTCTTCCCTTCTCCACAAGACCCCATAGCTCTAGTCTTTTATTTGGAGCTACAGATGAAAACACTTGCTATCTTTACACATTCAAGTGGTGGGGCTATATGTCTCAAAAGAACTAGTCCGTTAATACAAGTACCTGAGGCTGAATAAAAGCTGAATTGTTCTAGCTGACAGTAAATAAAGATTGTGGGGTGGGGTTCTTTTTTTCTTTTGCCTCCTACTTGTTCTAGTCGTGTAAAGTGGGGCTCACCCTTGAGGCCCAGTATCCCAACCATCCACTCTGGCACTTACTAAAGTCTACAGTGACTCCTGTTTGATGAAAATGCCCAGGTTTCTTTTATGTAAAGAAGTGCTGGTGCTCCTCTCTCATGCCGACATACAGCAGGGATGCAGCCATGGTGCACACACTATGAACAGGGAAATAGATATAACCTTAATGACCTTCATCAACTGAGTCAGGAGACCTTGAGGAGCAGCAAAAAGTATTCAAACTGTAACATGCCCCAACTTTGAATCATAATTGGTGCTATTGCAGGAGGCACTGAAAGATGGACAGGTATAGAAATTACTGTCTGTTCCTTAATTAGCTTCCACAAGCCATTAAAGACCACCAGAGCAATTTCTTTGCATGATATGAGTCCATCAGTTAGGACTGGAGAATTACGATGCTCTCTTGTCACATTTAAAATTAATTGACTTCCATATTAAACTGAAATAAATTAGCTTAGTATACCTCAATTAATGTTTAAGTGTCAGAGATCAAAAAAATTTGCTCTCCTCATGACCAGAAGTTATATATAATCCCATGATGAGTGTAGGAACTGCCAATTTTGGCTTGAAGACAACTGTTCCTTAGAAGGAAAGCAGGAGTTAAGTTCTTGAAAAGTCAACTTATTTGCTAGTAACTATATCTGCTTTTTGAATTCAGTGTCAGCTGAATTATTTAACTTACAGTAAAATATGGAAACATTGAAATGTCATTCTGTCTATCTGCAGGTATCCACAGTTACTTGCTGAGGCAAAATTTCTGGGGAAGTTCCATCTCTGGAAGCTCGTTTTTCCAGAAATGGCATTTCAACACCAACTTCTTAGCATTGCAGTAGTGGTTGTGGCTATGCTGTGGCAGAATAGGAAGAGCTTCTGGAACTCACCAAGGTCATAAGAGGCTTGTGACACTCCAGGTAAGTAGGAAGGCAGGTAGAAAAATACCTCAAGGGAGTGCAGATACCCAAATATGTACTAGACAAAATTCTAAGTCAGGAGTTGGAAAGCTTCATATGCACATTTGATATGTTTTCAAGAATACAGAATGCTCTTCTGTGGATGACTCTAGAAAGAAATTAATTGATATGACAACAGAAGTAATTGCAGTCCACATTCAAGCAGGTAACATTGAAAATACAGGATTATAAATTGCACCATCATATAAAGCATGCAGCTCTACTGAAACCGTAATTGAGACACCCGCTCTTAAGCTTTATTCTAAATGTTTTGATGGTTTGACAAGTTTTCTGTCTTTAACCCAAAGATTTGTTACTTCATTGCAGTAAACTTATATAATGAGTGTTAATGTCAATGTGATAGTAGTAGAGACTGATTTATTGATGAATTAGGCATTCTTCCTCTGCATTAGAAAAAATTAAGGAGAGCTAAACCAGAACTTATTGCTTTCAAATATGCTAAAGCTGAGTTAAACCATCAAACCTACTTCTGCAAAATGCTGAGTAATAGTATTCATCATTTCATTTCTTTTTTTGCTGTAACATTTCACAGTAACTGGAGATGGAAAAAAGAATGTGTCACAAGAGGAAAAACGAATTAAATGCTCTAACAATATCTTATGTTCTTTTCAGGTTCCGTGTAATCTCGTTGGGCACCAGCAGTGAAACTCTTCTGTTCAAAATGGTTTATGGTGAATTTTTCCACAGACCTGGCAAAGATGCAGAACTTATCAATTTGAATGTGGGTGGCTTTAAGCAATCGGTGGATCAAAGCACCTTGCTCCGATTTCCCCATACCAGACTCGGGAAACTTCTCAAATGCCATTCAGAAGAGGCTATTCTAGAACTGTGTGATGATTATAGCGTTGCAGACAAGGAATATTACTTTGACAGGAATCCTTCCTTGTTCCGATATGTTCTGAATTTTTACTATACGGGCAAACTTCATGTCATGGAAGAACTTTGTGTCTTTTCCTTCTGCCAAGAAATAGAGTACTGGGGGATAAATGAGCTGTTTATTGATGCCTGCTGCAGCAATCGGTACCAGGAGAGGAAAGAAGAAGGTCCTGAGAAAGACTGGGATCAGAAGAGCAATGACAGAAGTATAGACTCCTCTAATGAGGAGTCATCCATATTTGATAAAGAGCTGGAAAAGTTTGACAATCTGTGTTTTGGTGAAATAAGAAAGAAGATCTGGGTCAGAATGGAAAATCCTGCATACTGCTTGTCTGCCAAGTTAATTGCCGTGTCATCCCTGAGTGTTGTCTTGGCGTCAATCGTGGCCATGTGCATTCACAGCATGCCAGAGTTTCAAAGGCTGGACGCCAATGACAGGGAGATTGAAGACCCTGTGCTGGAAGCTGTGGAGATTACGTGCATCATCTGGTTCACTGCTGAGCTAGTGATCAGGCTCATCACCGCTCCCAGTCAAAAGAAGTTCTGGAAGAAACCACTGAATATCATTGATTTTGTTTCTATTATCCCATTTTATGCCACCTTGGCTGTGGACACAAAGGAAGAAGAAAGTGAAGATATTGAAAACATGGGGAAAGTGGTTCAGATCCTGCGGTTAATGAGGATATTTCGCATCCTGAAACTGGCCAGGCACTCTGTAGGACTGCGGTCTTTAGGCGCCACATTGAGACATAGCTATCAGGAAGTTGGACTTCTGCTTTTGTTTTTGTCTGTTGGGATTTCTATTTTTTCAGTGCTTGTCTACTCAGTGGAGAAAGATGATGACTCATCAGAACTGCACAGCATCCCTGTTTGCTGGTGGTGGGCAACCATCAGCATGACCACTGTTGGTTATGGAGACACTTACCCAGTCACGCTTGCTGGAAAGCTGCTCGGCACCCTATGCATTATCTGTGGGATACTAGTTGTAGCACTTCCAATCACTATTATTTTCAATAAGTTTTCTAAGTATTATCAAAAACAAAAAGATATTGATCCAGACCAATGCAACAATGATCGCAAAGAGAAATGTAATGACCTACCTTATTTTAACATTAGGGATATTTATGCAAAAAAGATGCACTCCTTCATTTCTAGCCTTTCTTCAGTAGGAATTGTAGTCAGTGACCAAGATTCAACAGATGCCTCCAGCATCCAAGATATGGAGGATGTTTACAACACAACATCTTTAGAAAATGGTACAGGAAAATGAGTTGAATCACTTTCTTTTCCCTTTATTTCTCTTCTGATTCTTGGTAAATGTGGACTTACAAACTTCAGTGAATTTATTAAGAGCAGTTAATTCTCAGGGTGCTTAACTCAGCCATATTTGGACATTCTTTGCTCTGAGGATGCCATACAAGCTTCATTGTTTATATGAGGCTTTAGAATATGCCTCATATGGTGGTTTAGTTTTTACGCAACTAATGTTATGCATTTTTTTTGAGAAAAAGTCAGGAAAACAGTTTTAAATGTGAGATCAGTGTTTGTTTGGTTTTGTGGTTTTTTTTGGTTGGTGTTTTTTTTTTTTTCCCTGCAGCAATCTGATAGCTTATACAGAATCTGCTTTTATAATTTGCTGCTGTTCAGGTAGAGATATATTACAAACATGTAAGAACTATTGCACAAGTCAATGAAGTTTTTACCTGCAAATACATGAGGAAAAAGAAGGAATTATGTACACGTAAAGCTGTGCTCACTAACACATTTATGTAATCTTGGAGTTGGGAACCCGTTTCGTAAGTTGGGGCAGAAAATGTATTGGTACATACTGTTTTTACTCCATGGAAGCATAATATTTATGAATTTCTTTCCAAAAGCACAATACATTTTTAGTTTGTTAAAATAAATTAATCCCATTGTGCCTATGTTTTTCTCAGCGTCCAGCATGGCCAAGCTCTATCAGGTCCTAAATGGTCTAAATCACAAGTTGCAGGATGAAGCATGTGGTGTAGGACAAGTCAGGAGCTTATTGTACTGTTTAGCCACCTCTTCTGCCATTGCAAACCTGAGCAATTCTGGTGCCTGTAGAGGATCCTGATGTGCTTAAAAGACCACCCTGGTGGCTTCCCCAGAGCCTTTGTTTTGTGGGCACCAAAGCAAACATCAGTGGTGGTCTTTAGAAGTTATCGCTCCCTGCTGTCAGCGCTGTTCCTTTGCTGGAGTTTACTGCCTTGGTGAGGAGCAAATGTGAGCAGCATCTCGGCTGTGCTGGTTCTCAGGCCAGGGCTGTAATGCAAAGCAACAGCAAGCATATGCGGACATGCTCTACCATACATCACGCATCAGAGAGGTGGGGTGGGTACTGCGTGTGGGCACCCATATGTTAAACGACTTCATCTCCTTTTTCTAAAGCTCATCTGTTGGTGGTGAAAGCTTTCGTGGTTTGTACTATGGGCTGGAGTGGTGCTTATTGCCTGGCAGAGTGCTGCAGCTCTGTGCATTCCTCTCCAGGGATTTCATATGCAGCCAGCTAATCCTGCTCTGGTTCAAACTGGATCTTCTAGGGCTATTTAAAAGGAAAGCCAGCCCTTGAGCCTAGCATTGAAGAGTGCTGGAGAAACTTGAGGACCTTACAGAAGTCCATAGTGTTTCTGAACACTCATTTTCTTTCATTTGTCTAGTGGCTAAATTAGGTGCTGGGCAGTGGACAACTGAAGATACTGTGATGTTCATATTTTCCTTAAAGAGAGGCTTCACTTTTTTTTTTTTTTTTTTTTTTCAACTGGGACAAATGCTGGAGCTCTTACTCAGTTTCTACTTGGGCAGATCAAAATCAGTAGGAGTTGACTTCAAGACTGAGTAAAACCAGAAGATGGCAGTTGATTTTAGCCTCTGCAGAGGGTTGATTTTTCAGATGTCTGCCAGGTTTTCTATTGCAAAATACACCTAGTAGCTGAGATGCACTGGTATTTACTGAGGCACAGAGCTCTAACCTCTTTCTGAAATGGAGAAACAAAAAAGAATGGGGTGGATCAACCTATACCTCAGAAAGAGGTGTCCCTCAGTACTGCTGTGCACCAATATAGTAATGTGGGACTTAAAGAGAATGTTTTGAGCTTTAGAGAATGTGGTGGGTTGACCCTGGCTGGAAGCCAGGTGCCCACCAAAGCTGCTCTATCACTCCCTTCCTCAGCTGGACAGCAGAGAGGAAATACAACGAAAGGCTTATGGGTCAAGATAAAGGACAGGGGGAGATCATTCACCAATAATTGTGAAGGGCAAAACAGACTCAGCTTGGGGAAATGAGTTTAATTTATTGCCAATCAAATCAGAGTAGGGTAATGAGAAATAAAAATGAAATCTTAAAACACCTTCCCCCTCCCCTCCCTTCTTCCTGGGCTCAACTTTACTCCTGATTTCCCTGCCTCCTTCCCCCCAGCGGTGCAGGGGTATGGGGAATGGGGGTTGCGGTCAGTTCATCACATGTGGTCTCTGTTTCCCCTTCCTCCTCAGGGGAGGACTCCTCACACTATTCCCCTGCATGGGTCCTTCCCAAGGGCTGCAGTTCGTTCTTCACAAACTGCTCCAGCGTGGGTCCCTTCCACGGGGTGCAGTCCTTCAGGAGCAGACTGCTCCAGCGTGGGTCCCCCACGAGGTCACAAGCCCTGCCAGCAAACCTGCTCCAGTGTGGGCTCCTCTCTCTCCACGGGGCCACAGGTCCTGCCAGGAGCCTGCTCCAGCCTGGGCTTTCCATGGGATCACAGCCTCCTTTGGGCACATCCCCCTGCTCCAGCGTGGGGTCCTCCCCGGGTGCAGGTGGATCTCTGCTCCCCCGTGGGCCCCCATGGGTGCAGGGGCACAGCTGCCTCACCATGGGCTGCACCAGGGGCTGCAGGGGAATCTCTGCTCCGGTGCCTGGAGCACCTCCTGCCCTCCTTCTGCACTGACCTTGGTGTCTGCAGAGTTGTTTCTCTCACATATTCTCACTCCTCACTCCAGCTGCAGCTTCTGTCCGGTTGGGGTGGGGTTTTTTTTGTTTCTCCTTCTCAAATACGTTATCCCAGAGGTGCTACCACTGTTGCTGATTGGCTTGGCCTTGGCCAGTGGTGGGGCTGTGTTTGGGGCGGCTGGGGCTGCCAGTGGTGGGTCTGTCTTGGAGCCGGCTGGCGTTGGCTCTATCAGACATAGGGGAAGGTTCTAGCAGCTTCTCACAGAAACCACCCCTGTAGCCCCCCCAGTACCAAAACTTTGCCACGCAAACCCAATACAGCGAAACTTCAAATTTTGGCTTATTACTTGCTGAGTGTCATAACTGTATGTGATACTTCACAGATAATTAAGGTTAATTCTTCCCATAGTTAGTGCAGGAATACCAGAAGGGAAAGTTAGCCTAAATGTGTTTTGTTCTTAGTGAACAATTAGCATTACAAAGATACAATGATATAAAATATTAAATATGTATGTGCATATGAATATAATAGGAACCGGCAGAATAACAGCATAAAAATTATGCTCTGTCCAAATAAACTCTCTTGACAGTCTCCTTACAAAGATATATTACATTGCCACTGAAGTTCAAAAGCAATGAAAAATATTGTAATGCAATAACAATTACTGCAACTACAATAACAAAAACTGCAAGGAATTTGTATTAAATAATTGAAAAAACCCTGTGTCTGAAAAATATAATCTTATATATAAGTCATTACCCAAGGACTGCAGAATATACAACTTTCTGTATGAAATATTACTGAGCGGTAATTTGTCATAAAATTTATAAGTTCTTGGTCAATCATATGAATCAGTCTTAAGGCGGTGACACTGCTTAAGTTGCTCTGACTTTGTGATATGCATATATACATCTTGCAGCAAAGTGAAGCATGTCTTCTGGAACATCAGAAGGTAGAGTACATATCCATGTATCACGCAGTGTATGTTATTTTGATTTCTGGGATGAGATCTCAGCTTTTTTCAAATCGGTTGTATCAGACAAACAAAATGGCTTTGTTGTTATCAGTTCCCTTTGCTGGAATAAATCCAGCACCTCAGTTTCACATAGGTGTAACAGGGAGCAGGATATGACCCCTGTCTAATGCCAAAAGATACTCCCTTCAGGGCCAAACTGTAGTCCTGTAACATGCGCTGGTACTAGAGAATGTCACAAGTCTTGAGTGCCAGAAAAAAGCAGATGAGAGCAAATTCTGAGATACTGCATGTTCTTCCTGCTAGTAGAAGTTTTTAGTAGAATAATTTACTAGTAAGAGATAAACGTAAGAGGGGCTTGTTTCTTATTTAGTCTTCTTCCTCAGTCTAGAGTTACGTATTATCAATATATAATATCAGTATCAATGAAAGGTAGATTGTCTTTATTGCTTTTGTATTTCTGTATCATGTGTTTTTCTCTTTAAAAACACATCCTAAATTCTCTCCACCCAGCTGCTCTCTTTCAGACACCAAAGCAAAGAAGATGTTACTGTTTCAATATGCATCCCATTTTGTATGGGAGAGATTTGTTTGTCTTTATATAAAACAGTTCCCTGGCACGTTATTAGTTTGTTTGTCTTGATGGCAAATGCTTCCCCTTCGATACACATTATTTCCAGCGTAGCATCCATCTTTGCAGTGTGTTTCCCTCGTGTAGCATGGGAAGACACCACTGCGCTGTGTTGCAGTTACTCGTTTGAGCAGCTTCCAGCTGGCAGGGGTTATCACCCAGCTGCCCGCAGCTCGTGCCTTGCTGGGAGCACGCTCTGTCATTGCCACCATTTTTCAGTGTGGGTTGGAAGCGGGAAAAGGCCAATGTAGAGAAATGAGAAAAAAGAAATGGGAGAAGGTAGGGAGCTGTCAACCAACGGGGATGACAGAAAAGCCTGAGAGGACTTTAGAAGAAAGGAGAAGAGGAAGAAGTTGACAGAAGGAGTTCTCACTTTATTTTTCTTTTCCACCAGTGCTTTTCTTTCTTTGCCTCCCCTTCTGCTTTGCATCCCCTCCTGCTACCACCCTGGCCTCCCTTCCCACCCAGCCTGTGGTCCAGCAGTCCTGTTTCTGTCCCAGAACAAGGGTCTTTCTGAGTCCAGAAAGGCATGTTTTATCCACCTGGCTGGCAGCAGGCAGAATTTAGCGGGGATGAAATTAGTGAACACTCCTGCTGTATATATGAGCAGTGATTAACACACTTATGGGCTGTGCTTTTTTGTAAAAAAAGTCACAATGTGGCTCAAATCAATGAGTGTAAATGTGAGCTAAATAAACGGCACACCTGTGTCAGGC